TGCTAATCGACAATAATCGATATGTCTATGAATCGATTGAGTGGCGCTGGCTTATCGATAAGCTAGTATATCGATACCTATTTTACTTCTCTGAATTTTACTATCAAGAGCAAGTCGATAAATGAGCCAAATTGTTTGGTATTTACTTATCGATAAGCACATGAATTTACTATCGATAGCTATCGATAATGTTCTAGCGCTATGCAGTGAGTGCATCTTTGAAGTTTCTTCACCGTAATCAATTATCCAGCTCAGTAAATTAGTAGTTATCGATAAATTGTTATCGGCATTTCTTGCTTCTTCATAATGGCAAAGCCCCATTACAGGCCAAAACAAGTGTAAATGCGAATCCGAGCCATAATCAGCAATCTGGTTTGCAGCAACAATGTCCCGGCGAGCAATTAGCACAGAGCTCGAACACGCTCGCCAGTTAATCGATATATCGATAAACAGACTATATTAGTGCCCAGAGCGATTTACATGCCTGCACGACATTTTAGATTTTCGCAGCTACTCAAATAGCAGAACATTGCAACTAGTTGCTATAATTTGAGGCAGTTGTTGTTGTTGTTGCTGCTGTAGCTGTAGCTGTAGCTGTTGCTGTTGCTGTGGCTGTGGCTGGCATTCAGTCACGATCAAGTGGAGATATCGCTGTGGTAGTTGATGCAACTGTCGATAACCGTTAGCGATCGTCCGTTTTATTGCTGCTGCCGCTGCTGGTTGCATGTGAACAAAACATGCCAAATCAAAGTGTGAGTGATCATTCAATTAAGCAGCACGCCAACCGACAACAACAACACTAGCCGACGTACGACAGCAGCAACATGAGCACAGCAACAACAACAACAAAGCCGACGACAGCAATCACACAGCAACAGCAACTGCGGTGCCATCATCAGTTAAATTATGTGATAATATGCCAACAATGAGTGTGCAACAGCAACAGCGACAGCAATCGCAACAACAGCAACTACAACAGCAGCAGCAGCAGCAATCAACACGCAAAAGCCCAAAACAAACGTGTCACAAGCAGCACAGGGCAGGCAGGCAGGCAGGCTGGAGGTGGGCAATTGAGCAGCGCGCAAGATGCGGCCCCAACGGCAACAGCACGTACAGGCCCCGCAGCAGCATCACCAGCAGCAACAGCTACAGCTACAGCAACAACACCAAAATTGCTGCTGCCTTTTTTGGTTGTTGCTGCCGGCGCGGCTCAATCAGTTTGTCACCCGGGCGATATATAGAGTGATTAAGTGGCCCACGGATTGGATTGGATTGGTATTGACCAACTGGTGCAACAGCAGCAGCAGCAGCAGCAGCAGCAGCAGGGGCAGCGACATAGAGACGTGCCGCAATGCAACAGCAACAGTTGCTGAATTTTGCATTAGTCGCTGGCTCGCAATGCAATATGAACAAACAAGAAAAAAAGTAGACAATATTTGACGCATAATTGCATTAGAGCTGCTTGCCAATCAATTCAATCAGTGAATAAAATCAGAAGCAGCAACAGTAACAACAGCAGCAGCAGCAGCAGCAGCAACTAGAGCTGTCTGTCTTTCGTCTGGCTTGGCAAAGCAACAACAGCAACTGTTGCTGATTTGTTGCTTGTTGTGTGACGACGACGACGACTGCGTGGCGTCCGTGTAATCGCACTTCATGTCTAATTAGACTTGTTTATGCCCATTTGAAAAAAAAAAAAAAAAACTGAAATGCAGCAGCAACAACAACAGCAGCAGCAGCAGCAACAGCAACAACCACATTGCTGCGGTGCATGCACATATTATATTATTTTTTATGGCTATCTTCACGGTTATTTTCATTTAAATCGCAATTCAAACTCGACATTGTCGTCGAATGACATTTTAAATGACAATTTTGCGCCTTTTGCAACTGTTGCCAACAGTGCGTGAGAGAGAGAGAGAGAGAGAGAGAGAGACTGCGAGCAGTAGAGGCTGAGAGTGAGTGAGTGAGCGAGAGAAGCAAATTGTATGTAATAATGCAAATTGTTTTTATCAATAAATTCTAGACGCGCAACGAGTAATTCAGTTAATGTTGCTGCTGAATGAATTTATGCGTTAATAAATTTAAAGCAAATTAGCTAAACGACATCGACGACGATTTATGGACTAAGCAACGATTGCGACTCATTCAGCAGAGCCTCAGCTCAGCTCAGCTCAGCTCCGACTCGACTCAGCTTCGACTCAGCTCAACGACTTGGCAATTTGATTGATGAGGCTTGCCAATAAACGGTGTTTGCCTTTTAAAGTCAGCCCAAATCGGTGCGAGTCGGCGGCAATTGCGTTTCCAATTGCCGTGTGCAGTTCCCCCAGCCAGCGCCAACTGCAGCGAGTGCGGCGGGCTCCAAAATGGCGACGCCGGCAATTAATCAGTTTTTCAGCCTTCGGCCTTTTTGGCCAGGCAATAAAACACACACAGAGAGAGAAAGGGAGAGAGAGAGGGAGAAAGATAGACAGGCACTTGCTTAGTGCATGAATTAATGGCAGCGCATTTAGCGCTTAGTCGTTATACTATTCACATTAATTAACGTGACACGTCAACGAGTAGACCACTCAAATTGACGAGTCGTGCCTAGCTGCTGCTGCTGCTGCTATTGCGGCGTGTGAAAATATTTTAATTTACGATTTTACGTACTTCATCGTAATGAGATTTTTATCTTTGCTTGCTTTACGCCTTGCCACATAAAGCCTGCATGCGGCTCTACTCGTTGCAGTTTCATTAGTCACTCGTTAAGCATATTTGTTTATCAACTCATTGTCTCTTTAGTAGTTTCGTATGATTACTCGCTCTAGCTGTACTATGTGTTTAGTGGTTGGTGGTCCATTATATCATAGTTCCACTCGTTGTGGTTCTGCTCATCATATCTCTACTCATTAGAGATCTACTCGTTATAGCTCTGCTCATTATATTTCTAGTCATTATAGCTCTGCTCCTTATATCTCCACTGGTTATATTTCTACTCATTACATGCTTATTCTATACGTCTCTACTCGATGTATTTCTACTCATCATATCTCTACTTATTATAGATTTACTCGTTATCTCTATCTCTACTCGTTATAGCTCGTTATATTTCTACTGATTATATGTTATATATTTCTACTCATCATATATTTCTACTCACCATATCTCTACTCGTTATAACTCTACTTGTTATAGCTCTACTCGTTATATCTCTACTCATTAAAGCTCTACTCGTCGTCTCTCTACTCGTTAGATTTCTACTCATCGTATCTCTACTCGTTATATCTCTTTTCGTTATATCTTAGCTCGTTATAACTCTACTCGTTTTATCTCTACTCATCAAAGCTCTACTCGTCGTCAATCTGCTAGTTATATCTCTACTCATCATATCTCTACTCGTTATATATCTACCCATCTTATCTCTACTCTTTATACCTTTACTCGTTGCCTCTCTGCCCATTATGGTTCACTGCTTATCTATCCGTTATTTCTCCACTCGTCGTAGCCACACTCGCATTATTCATTGTATCCACATGTAAAGTCATTGCAGCTCTTCCTCTTCTCGCTTCAGTTCAACTTTTCACTCTCTGCTGTCTTACGCCCTGTAATTAACTTGTAGCAGGCCGCATTTATTGCGAGTCTCGCCGCGCTTTGCTTATGGCTGCCTGACGGCACGTACTTGTCTAGCTTCACTCGCAGCGCACCGTCTGCATCAGCTACCAGCAACTATTGCTGCTTATGCTATTCTCCTGCTTTGTTCTGCTGTGCGCTGCGATCTGTTTCGTTTAGTCTGGTCTGCGCTTTGTCGCATTATTTAGTTGTATTCAGCACTTCTGAAGCGTTAACACGGCCAGCACAAGCTTTCAGCTCTATACATACAATTATAATGCTGACAACATGAGCAACAACCACAAGCATCTTATTAGTCACACCTTTGTGTGCATGACACCGCAATCGCCATTGGTGGTCTTGCCCAGTGGGAGAGGGACAGTGGCAGAGACAGAGGCAAAGACAGAGGCAGAGAGAGAGAGAGAGGGCGTGCAAATCAAGCGCAGATACAAGATACACACAATATATAGCCAACCAGTTGTTGTTGCTGCTGTCGCCATCAGCAACAGCAACGGCAACAGCAGCAACAGTGTAAGCAGCTAGAGCTATAGCCTAAAGTCTAAGTCTGAGTCAAAGTCGCAGCTTGTTTTCTTTTTAAATTACATGAACAAAATGGCGTTGCCAGACTCAGCAGCAGCAACAGCAATGGCAGCAACAGCAACAGCAACGACAGCAGCAGCTTGTGAGGTCCACACGCAGCAGCAGGAACCGAAAACAAGCTAACAGAGCACAGAGACTGTGGCTGGTCGCATCGGACCCGGTCTATAGAGCCCGGCTGCCTAGACTAGAGCTGGGACTATGCTTACAGTTGGTCCGTCGGTCCGTCCATCGGTCGGTCGGTCGGTCGGTCGGTCGGTCGGTCGGTCGGTCTGTCGTTCGCTCCTTCGTTTTAATCGAAGTCGATTCGACGAGTTATGGTAATTAAAAAGGTGTTCCTTTTGCAACAGTCGCGCATGTCGTTGCTTGGGGGGTCTCGCGGCTTCGTCTCTGCTTGCTGCAGACAAATTCATATTTTATGACAAAACTTCTGGCCACTCCCCGCACCCCACTCTGTCCCTCTCTCTCTCTCTCTCTCTCTCACTCTCGCTCACTCTGTGTGTGTCTCTGTGGCGGCACTCGTGCACTTTGGTGGGTGGTCGCCTACAGGAATGTCGCCGACGTGCCACAGTCCACAGCCATTTGCAATATCTTTTCTACAGCTCAACTCCAAGCCATGTGTGTGTGTGTGTGTGTGCCTCTGTTTGAGCCTGTCAAGTTTTGTCAAGTTACTGCCGCCAAAACGGAATACCTTGTGCCGTGCTTTTTTTTTTTCTTTTTGGTTTCTTTTTTTTTTTGTCCCATTGCATTTTGCATGCTAAGCTAACTAATCTTATGCTCTCTTTCTCTGGCCATCTCTTTCGTTCGCCTTATAGACAATACTGAACTCAATGCATAAATATCAGCCGCGCTTTCATTTGGTGCGAGCCAACGATATCTTGAAGCTACCATATTCCACGTTTCGCACGTACGTGTTCAAGGAGACGGAGTTCATAGCCGTGACTGCATATCAAAATGAGAAGGTAAACCATATCCCCATATAAATAGAATTGTGATAATCCAGCCATATGGCATATAACTAAACGCACATTGACATTTGCAGATAACTCAGCTGAAAATCGACAACAATCCCTTTGCGAAGGGCTTTCGTGATACTGGTGCTGGCAAACGGGAAAAGAAGTGAGTATCACTAGTGTTAAGCAACGACTCGAGTTAAGGGAATATGGGCGCGTAGAGAGAGGTCAATAATAGAAAAAAGTCGATTTGATTTGGGTGTAAGTGAAGTTAGTTACAGCTGGTTTTTTAGGGTTTTTAGTGCTGGGTTCTTGGGATGTTTTGATTCTGTATAGGAAAAGGGTTTTCCCAGACCAAACTATTACAATTGTTTAATAATTAATGTTAGTTTAAGGCAAGGCTTTTGAGTTTTTAGTGCTGGGTTCTTGAGATGATTTGATGATTCCATTCAGGAAAAGGTTTTTCCTAGTTCAAACTATTACAATTGTTCAATCATTAAAGTTAGTTTAAAGCAAGGGCTTTGGGATTTTTAGTTTTATGCTAGGTTAGGCTAGAGGTGATTTAATACCATATAGTAAAAGGGTTTTCCTAGTTCTGTTCATAGAGCTCCCCATGCCCAGATAACTGAGCTTTTCCTGTGAGCAGCCTAGCTAGCTCTAGTTCTACCCGTAAAAGGAACCTCCTTAGATAGGCTCATATAGGAAAAGGTTTTTTCTWGTTCATAGAGCCCCTCATGCCCAGATAACTGAGYTTWTCCKGTGAGCAGCCTAGCTAGGCTCTAGTTCTACCCGTCCAAGGAACCTCCTTAGATAGGCTCATATAGGAAAAGGTTTTTTCTAGTTCATAGAGCCCCTCATGCCCAGATAACTGAGCTTTTCCTGTGAGCAGCCTAGCTAGGCTCTAGTTCTACCCGTCCAAGGAACCTCCTTAGTTAAGCCGGAGATCCTAGTCAAGTCTAGGTAAAATCTATGGATATATTGCTGAGATACACACAACACTCAAGCAATAGGGTTATCCATTACTAATTCCTTGAGCAAATGCCAAGTTGCTGCGCTCTAGCTCAGCCTAACTTGGAGTGGGGAAAAATCTTGCCGAAATGCGAATTCTCTGCTCGCATTACTGATGTTGCTTTAAGGTATATGCGAATGGCAGCTGACTGGCTTATTAGCAGCTGCCCTCGGCCAGTTGGTGCTGCAATTATGTGTTGTAGATCCGTGCAAAGGACCTCATTGATTCAATTAGTTCATAAGTTAACTCCGGCTACCGAGTGCAGTCCCTGGCAAATCGAATTCAACACAATCGAGCGAAGCCCTCTCAGCTAGCTGCCCGCTCGCCTCAAAAAGCAAACTAATCAGCACTTTGAGCTGCACTTCACATCACAGCAATCGTCGAGTTGGGGTCAGCAATTCGGTTTGTTTTCCTATTTGTTAGCAGCGGGCTCGTTGGCTCGTTTGTCTAACTGTCTCTCCATTTGTATCTCTATCTCCATCTGTATCTGTATCTGCATCTGTATCTGTTTCTGTATCTCTGCTGTAGCTTGATTAGCAGGCATTAATTTTTGTCAAATCTGTGCGGAACTAATTAGCCTGCTGCTTGTCAAATTGCAACTCATACAAAGCGCCAATGAGGACGAGGGGGCGTATTGCGGCTGCTGGCTAACATCGACGCTCAGCTGGAGGCCAAGTGGCCACAAAGTCAACACAATGATGAGGCCGATGATAATCATGCTGAGGATGATGACTGGCACCTTGGTCTGGCCATGGTCCACCCCAACTCCCACTCCCACTCCCACTGCCGATATGTGTGTGTAGAGAGATATAGAGAGAGAGGGGGAGACATCCTCTCGACAGCAGCCCAGCTGCTGGGCCAGCTCTCCAGCTGAGCGCCTGTAATCCATATTGATGGATTGATTTCAATTTCCTGTTGGTCGATTTGGTCGGCCGTCAGCGTGGGCGCTGATCAAAATGCTTTTGACTTTTTTCCACAATTGTTTTTGCGCAGGATAACCAAAAAGTCAACATCGGCGTGGGGGAGTGGAACTTGGACTGGTTCCGGTTTCCGGCCATCGTCGGGCTGCCGGGCTGCACTCGCTTCGCTTTCAATCTGCTCTGACTTAGCATAATGATGAATGACATTTAATAGCTGGCTCAACGTTTTCCTAAACGTTACAAATCAATTTTCACTCTCCCCGCTACCATCTCCCTCTCCCTGTCCCACTCTCTCTCTCTCTGTGTGTGACTGACAATGACAAGACGATGATGAGCTGTGGCGTATTTGGACAGGCCAAGGAACGACTTCATCAGTCTTCTGTTTGCTGCATTGACACAAACAATTTACTTGCGGCCCTTCCTGTTGAGTTGTTGTAAAACTGATTACAGCGCCTTGATTGGCATTAGCTGCCAAGCCGCAAACCCCAACGCCCCACCGAGCGTACCCCAGCCTAGCCCAGCCTAGCCCAGCCTAGCTGTCTATTCAGTCCTCCAGTCCCGCAATCCTAGCTGTCTTTTATACCCAGCAAACATTTAAATTGCCAACAGGGAAATGCGCGCTGAGTTGCTTTTAGCTGCCTGTCTTAAATAAGTTATTTGATGCCCGCTTGGCATATGCAAAAATCGATAACTATCGATTGTGCTGTTGTCTATATTCTTTGCTGATGCATTGAATGCATATAGTAAAATCCCAAGACTTTCAGCTAACTGAGTTCTTTCTACAAGTTTATTTCATTTCTCGACTAAAATCGATAAATATCGATATGCAAGCTAGCTGCTTCTGTATTAAATATGTATATAGACAGATTGCTAGGGAGTGCCGTTTATATATATATTCATTTGACTTTGATTTAAGTCGGCTTTTTTCACTTTAATAATTCAAAATCGGTTGTTATCGAACTTGAAGAGCAACATACTATCAACTTTCAAAGCAAGCAGCATATATTCTTCTATGCTTCATATGTTGTTCTTGTAAATGGTTATAACTTTAGCTATATCCCTTCGATAACATATGCCGATAGCACCAAAGCGATAAATATCGATTCATAGATAGCTGTAAAAGCAATTGTGCAATTCATTTGYCTTGCATGGMTTTTATATCCCTTCGATAACATATGCCGATAGCACCAAAGCGATAAATATCGATTCATCGATAGCTGTAAAAGCAATTGTGCAATTCATTTGCCTTGCATGACTTTTCGATTTATCTTGTTGGTTCTCCTTAATAGAGTTCAATTCATTTGTGGCTGTTATCGATAACAGCCAACAATTGCCCTTATACTATTGCTTCAGTCTTAGCCCTCGCTAGCCCCTTGCAGGGTATCTGCGTGTGTGGCTCTGCTGGCTGCGCCTATTTGCCTACGCCGCCTGTCTGGCTGTCAGCAAAAATCATGCACTGCCTGTTTTTTATCTGCATGTCAGCCGCAGTCCCGCCTGCCACGCCCACTGGCAAAAAATCTGACTGGTCATTGCTGGGACAGTCATGTGTCAGTTTTTTGGCCTGGGCGACGGATTTGGTTTTGGTTTTTTGGTCTCGGGCTTCTCTGTTCAACTGGACGTCGATTATTAATAGAACGCCAGCGCTCAAAAGTATACTACAATCTGTGTGTGTGAGAGTGTGTGCTTGTGTGGGTGTGTGAGTGTGTGGGTGGGGGCGATTTACAGCCGCTAAAGCGCTTAGCTAACTTTTTGCATAGACTTTTAATTAGTCTGAAATGCCTGGGCAATTAGTGCGACTTAGTCAAAACTCCAGTCTTGCCTTTTTTGTTTGTCAAATTGCCAGCAACAACAACAGTGGCAACAACAACAGCAACAACAACAATAACAAGCAGCAGCAGCAGCACTTTTTAAGTAGCTCAATGCGGCGGCAACTTTTTGTGGTTAACTCTTTTAGCAGCCAGCCGCTGGGCTGCGCTTCATTAGTAACAACAACAACAACGATAGCAACAACAACAGCAACAACAACAACAGCCACATAAACAATGCCATGACGACATTTTCGTCCTGCGACTTGGGTGTCACAGCTCACAGCAAGCGGCGCTAATTGGTGGCAACTATGTCGCAGCCGAGGCGCAACCCTCTCGCAGCTTAACTGCGCAACTTCCGCCGGAATGATATTCATCTCTGGCAAAGCCCAGTCGAGCCGGCCCGGCCCGGCCCCTGCTGCCTGCTGCCTGCCTTCTGGCAAACTCTTTGCAATTGCTTTTGCATTGCCCGCGGCCGCAGCGGAAATCTAAAGTGAAAACCGTTTTAACAGCAGCAGCAGCGGCGGCAGCAGCGGCAGCAGCAGCGGTTGAGAAGCTGGCAGCAATTGAAATTCCTTTTCATATTTATTTGCCACACTCTCTCACACCGCTCGCCCCGACCTGCCCCGCCCCGCCTCCTGCTGTTGCAGACAAATAGCTGCAGGCGTTAGTTGACAATTGGCGCACTTTTTTCTTTTTCCTTTCTTTCGACTGCTGTCCGCGCTCTTCTTCTACCTCCCGCCCTCCCTCTATCTGCTTCTCTGCTAATTTGCCAATGTTGTGTTGGGCGGGGCTGGGCGTGGGCGTGTGTGGAACTGGAACTGGAACTGGAACTGGTTTTAGCCGCACATTTAGATATAATTCAAAAATTACAGAGCACCGCCATTTGCCACGCCTCTGCCCCTGCCAACGCCCCCACCCGTTGCCGGGCCGTGCATAAAAGCCAAGATAAACGTCTTAGTTGCCCTTTGTGCGAGTGTTGCAAATTTATGGTTGAGTTACATGTGAGACACAGGAGCGGTTCAGCCCCCAGGCGGGCTGGCCCAAATGCAGCATTTACTGGCACTTGCTGCCTCAGAGGCCTAGAGACTTGATCTTGACTTTGGCGGCTGTAAGAAGATTTTCTAAACTTACAGAATTCTATAGATATAGATAGTATTTCCTTAGTATAAGTCTCATTCTCTGATTATATCTCAAGCTGAAGAGTTCCATTTGAATATTCATTCAGTTGCAAAATAGTTTTTGACGGCCATTGGCATATATCCTATGGCATGCATCAGTATATACTGTAATAGCATGTATATATACTGAAGTACTGCTATATATACTGATAACATATGGTATATATCAGTATATACTAGAATAGTATCTGCCAGTATTTACCATATAGTATATATCATTATATACTATAATAGTATGTTCCAGTAAATACCAAATAGTATATAATATTATATACTACAATAGCATATGCTATATCTCAGTATATACTAGAATTGTATCTGCCAGTATATACCATATAGTATTGTATATATTATTATATACTACAATAGCATATGTTATATCTCAGTATATGCTAGAATCGTATATAGCAGTATATACCATATATTGATGCACTGTGTACTATTTATCAAACCGCTTTGGTCTTCTCTTCTCTAACTAAAGTATACCATATACATACATATATACTAGAATAGTATGTACCATATACCATATATCAGTATATACTATAATAGCATGTGGAACTATATATATATCATATGGCATATATTATACTAGAATGGTATCTATCAGTATATACCATATATTAAAGCACTACACCCCATAAGTCTATTCATAAACCGCTATCAGAATACCTCTTGAGTGCTATCAGCATATACCATATAGTAGCAGTATATACTAGAATAGTATCTAGCAGTATATATCATATAGTACATATTAGTATATACCATATATATGATCTATAGCTATATATACCATATATACCAGAAGCCATTGAAAGTAAACTCTGAAAAGATAATAGATTTCTAGTTAAACAATTTTCGCTTCTGGTTAATTAGAGTTTTGGAGCCCAAACTTTTTTTAGAGCGCCCCATTTTGGGCGTTCGCTTGGGCTGTGCGACGTCGCTAGTTGCTGTTGGGTGGGTGAGCTCGTAGCGCTGCCTAGATTAACACAAATTGATTTGCTATTAAATTAGGTATATACACAACACACACACGCACACGCACACACACACCCACAGGTGATGCGAAATACGTGGAAAAACAGTTAAGTGTAAAAGAAGACGCCTGTGGCGAAATTGCTAACTCCTGTCTATGGGTGGTTCCGGGCTCAGTGGTTGCTGTGATAATGATACACACATGCCGCTCGCCCTCTCCCCCCTCTGTGTGTGTGTGTGTGTGTGTGCTAGTAAATTGCCCAATTTGCGAACACGGGACCTGGCGCTGGCATCGTTGCTTTGATGTGTGAACAACAACAAAATAAACGCAGAAAATGCACGGACGTAGTTTTTCGGCTAAAGGGCGGCGCAGTAACGGAGATGCGGTGTATTTGTTGGCGTTTGCGGGGCAGCGCGAGTCGAGGCCAGTGTAGACACTAAATTACACTAACGTGTTTTGAATTATTTTTCAATTTCATTGTCGGCCCAGACACAAACTGCCGGCTGTTTCCGCCTGCCATTGTTACATTTCAATTAAGGTTCCGGCTATACGGCGATCCCCAACCAGACCGCCCAACCGACCGCCTGCCTGCCTGTCCCACCGCTCATTCATATGCCGGCGGCGTCGTTTTATCATTTAACAGATATTCCTGCTAGCGAAAATATTATGCCAGTGCCTCGTCTATCCAAAAAGCCTAATGCAACATGGACAGTAGAGTGGGTGAGAGGAGGGGGGAGGGTGGTTTGAGAAGAAAACAATGTTTCAAGCGCTTGCGGCCTATGCGTGCTCCAAAATTTCCGATTACAATTCGGTTTTTCAATTGGCAATTTACATTATTCAGTTTTTTTTTTGGTAGTCTCGGGATCCAATATTATCGAGAGCCTTAAGTCTTATGCGGGGAGTGTCTGAGCAGAAGAGCTAGGCATGATCCCAAATGGAACCCTTTAGCTCTTTAGTCTTTCAGTTGTAGCGGGTGGCTGAGCTGCATTAGTAACTCCCATCTTGACAACCCTAGCTTTCATCTACGATCCCTCTTATCACTGTCCTGGATAGACAGCTGGGTATGATCCCACGAGCAAAACTAGATACCACCTGAGTCAGCTCTTCAGATTTTCAATTACAAAAGTTGATTGTATATATAATTAGCTCCCCGAGCAGGCAATGCCATTTCCCACAGCTTTAGCCTTTACTCCTGATCCATATCGATGCGCCTAGCTCGCTTGGCGATGGAACCCGCTCCGCCTTAGACAATTGGATGTTCTAATTTGTTTCGTTTTCTCGTACTACTGTTGTTACAGGCAGGCGCTGATGTCCAACCGAGGGTCCGACTCGGACAAATTGAATCCCACGCACGTGAGCAGCTCCCGGGCGCCGCTCCATCTGGGCCATGCCGGACGGCCGCCACATCTGCATCCGGCGCATGCGGCCGCGCTGCTGGACAATCAGCAGGACGACGACGACAAGCTGCTCGATGTGGTGGGCCCGCCCCAGAGTCCGCTGCTCCCGCTGAGCCACTCGCTGCAGCAGATGCACGCGCACCAGCATTCGGGTAAGCAGTCAAGCAGCATTAGCATCAGCTGATCATCTCTCGAGATTCGCGCATGCCCGGCCTCTGTCTAACTGAGCCAATCTCTGGCTTCTCTCTGTCTCGTTTCATTCCAACTCAGCAGCTTTGGCCGCCTGGTTCAATCACTTGGCTGGCGCTGGCGCCGGCGAGCATGCGGCCGCGGCGAACGCGGAGGATGCACTGCGCCGCCGCCTGCAGGCGGACGATGTGGAGCGCGATGGCAGCGATTCGAGCTGCTCGGAGAGCGTCGGCGGCAGCACCGGCGGTGCCTTTCGCCCCACCTCGACGGGCAGTCCCAAGGAGGGCGTGGGCGGCGGCGGTGCGGCTGCTGCGGCCGCAGCGGCAGCGGCCGGACTCAATGCGGCCGGCAGCTATCCGTCGCCGAATATCTCAGTGGGCCCGCCCATACACCCGTCGCCGCATCTGTTGCCTTACCTCTATCCGCACGGCCTCTATCCGCCGCCGCACCTGGGACTGCTGCACAATCCGGCGGCGGCCGCTGCCATGAATCCGGCCGGACTCAATCCGGGCCTGCTGTTCAACGCGCAGCTCGCGCTGGCCGCCCAGCATCCGGCGCTGTTCGGCCACGCCTACGCGGCGGCTGGCCACACGCCCGTCTCGCCGCTGCAGGGCCTGAAGAGTCATCGCTTCTCGCCGTACAGCCTGCCGGGCAGCTTGGGCTCCGCCTTCGATGCGGTCACGCCCGGCTCGAATGCGAATCGCAGCGGTGGCAATGGCAGCGCCGACGCAGCTGCGCCGCCCAATCTTCTACCCTCCGCAGGAGGCGGGGGCGGCAGTGGCGGTGGCGGTGGCGCCGGTGGCGGCCTGGGCCTGGACAACGGACCACGCAGCTTGAGCTCCAGCCCGAGACCGCGCGCCTCTTCGCACTCGCCGCCCACGCGGCCCATATCAATGTCGCCGACGACGCCGCCGTCGCTGCTGAAGCGACAGTCGCAGCACTCGCCGTCGGAGCTGAAGAGCATGGAGAAGATGGTGAACGGGCTGGAGGTGCAGCACAATGGCAGCGCAGCAGCAGCGGCGGCGGCAGCGGCAGCGGCGGCAGCAGCAGCAGCGGCCGCCTCGCTGCTGTCGGAGGAGTCGTCGCAGCTGCAGCATCACACGCAGGCGCATCACACACATCCGCACACACATCCGCACGGACATCCGCACGGGCTGACGCACGCGACGCACCATGCGTCGGCTGGGACGGATCAGTGACAATTACAGGACGGCCGCTCCGACTGCGAGGAGGGCGGCCCCCACGAGCTGGACGACGACGAGGACGACGACCACGATCGCAGCTCGGTGATCGATCTGGATGTCGATGTCTGACCGCATCCGGTGCAGCTGCAGCAGCTTTAGCGTGCAATGCCGTTGACCAGCTGCTGTCGGGCAGTCGAAGCGGTTCCAGTTCCGGCTCCAGTTCCGGTTCCGGTTCAGGCTAGCATCGGAAGCAGCTCCGGCGGCAGTTAACCAACACTGCTAAACAGTGTAAATAGCGCCAGCGTTCTATATAGGCATTGTAGCATATAGCATAGAGTCCACACACACACACACACACACATACACACTCACAGCCACACATACTAACACACACACGCACGTAATACCCTAATAGAGCCTAGAGACGTTGCGGGTCGCTTTGCGCATAGATATAGTGCACC